TATCCAAAACAGACAAGTTTCATTTATATAATTTTTCAAGGGATCTTATCTGTTTTCACTCTTGTATGCTTTTCATACAAGTTTCACACAAGACAGATACAAACTTGATAAGATTTATATATCTTATGGACAATCTTCTCATTCTGCCTCCTATCACAGGGCACCCCCGGACCTCCTGGTGAGAACGGCCCTCCTGGACCCCCAGGAAAGAGGGTAAGATCAGTTTGATGGCAACCTGCTGCTGTGAAAGATCACTTAAGTAGCAAGTTTTTCATGCAGCCAATATTTTTTAATGCTTCCAGCTTTTGACCTTTTATTTACCTGAGCATATAAGGAGACGCAGCCTCGTTGTGTTTACTGACCAGTCGTCTTCAGAGTATTCATCACCCAAACACCCAACCTGAGCGCAGCATCCTGGACACCATCAAACATTTATTCTGTTTCTTTCCTGCAGTCGTATTTAAATGGCTTCATATGATTTAGTGAAAGCTTATTAACTTTGAAGGAATACAGTATTTTATCACTTATGTTCACTGATGCACTGTTACCTCATTTACATGTCAGGGTCCTGCTGGTACAAGAGGAGCGGAGGGACGTCAGGGAGAGAAGGGGACCAAGGTGAGTCCTTCAGTTACTAAATGATCTGCACAGATCACAGTGAGTATAAGCTCTCAGATGATAAGACAAAACTATGTTTACATCTGATTACTGACCCTTTATTTGTAATAATGATTCTACTATAAATGATTAACTCTGTTTTTCTCAGATTCTTATCAATCTTATTTTTGTGATGCATAACTTTTACTGATGCAAAGAAGGAATCTTTTAATCGTGTTTCTTTGGCGTCACCCTTCACAGGGAGATCCAGGTGCAGTCGGTCCCCCAGGAAAGACGGGTCCTGTCGGCCCTCAGGGTCAACCAGGAAAACCGGGAACCGAAGGTCTTCGAGGACTCCCGGGATCAGTGGTCAGTTCAGTTTATCAGTCATTTTTGGGTTTATTCAAACAGCAACTAAACAATTCACTGTGTGTGTGAGACACTTGTTTGATGTGTTGCTGTTAACTCACTAAGTGTGTTAATAATTGTGTTTCAGGGTGAACAAGGATTACCAGGAGCTGCTGGAGAGAAAGGACCGCCCGGACCTTTGGTAAGAACAAACACAAAGTTTGCACTTGATGCTCCGTGACGCTGCACTTTGCTCCTGCTGCCGTATTTAATCCTCCATCTTTCCTCTTCTCGTCTGTCCTCCTGCTTTCGTCCTCTTCTTTTCTTCTTTCTCTGCTTCTCCTCCTGCAGGGACCGCCTGGTTTGCCCGGCCTGCGTGGAGACCCCGGAGCCAAGGGAGAGAAGGGACACCAAGGTCTTATCGGTCTCATCGGACCTCCGGGAGAGCAGGGAGAGAAGGGAGACCGAGGCCTTCCTGGGCCTCACGGATCCTCTGGACCCAAAGGAGAGACCGTAAGTTTGACCTCTGTCACATGATGAAGAGCAGGCAGTGAAACCTTCTTTTATGGAAATGATTCTCATGTCTTGTAACACAGGGACTTCCTGGAGGCACCGGACCCCTCGGCCCTGCTGGTCCTCCTGGTCTTCCTGTAAGTATTTGTGCTGTTTTATTCCAGGAACATGACGTCATTCTTCCTGCTCCTGAAACTTGTCATTGAAGCCGTTTTATTAAAGTCTGACATCTTTTCCAGGGTCCTCAAGGTGTCAAAGGAGCTAAGGGTGCATCTGTGAGTAACCACGCTAACAGTAACAGTAAAATTCAAAGATGAATCGATGCGATGATGTAATGCTTCTTTGCTTTTCCTGCTGGATTTAGGGAGGAGCTGGACCAAAGGGAGAAAAAGGAGTACAAGGATCTCCTGGACCTCCTGTCAGTACTCCACCTTTCTTCATTTAAATCTTCTCCATGTGCTCTCTGAACTGCAGTTAATGATGTAAACTTGCTTCCCAGGGCCCGCCTGGTGAGGTCATTCAGCCGCTGCCCATCCAGAGGAGTCCCAAGTCCAAACGCTCCATCGATGCCAGCCAGCTGGCGCCGGAGTTTGACCCTGACATGCCGGCATCTGACACCGCTGGCACCGAGTTCCTGATGGGCAGCGAAGGCATGGAGGAGATCTTTGGCTCTCTCAACTCCCTCCGTCAAGAGATCGAGACGATGCGTTTCCCTCTGGGCACTCAGGACAGCCCCGCGCGCACCTGCCAGGACCTGAACCTCAGCCAGCCGGACCTCAAAGACGGTAACAAACCACAAAACCCAGAACAAACCTGGCAGCTGATCCTGGCACTTATATCAGTACCAGGACGATGATGAATGAACATCTTTAAGAGTCAAAGTCAGACTTTTACATTTTCCCCCCTCTTTTCTCTGTCGCCCCCTGCAGGAGAGTACTGGATCGACCCCAATCAGGGCTGCTCCAGAGACTCCTTCAAGGTCTTCTGTAACTTTACTGCTGGAGAGACATGTTTGTACCCGAGCAAGGACGTCAACACGGTCAGTCCAGCAATCTGGGAAAAACAACAACTGTGTCAAAAAACATTATTATTAACTAAACTCATAATAATTTGGTTAAATTGGGTTCCTGAAGCGTTTGTGGTGGTTTCTATTTTCTTATTTATATGTAAAAAACTAAAAAATAATTTAACATTTATAATAAAATGAAGATGTCAGAGCAGTAATGTTGAGGAAATTTGCCGCCCAGGTTAAAAAAAGGTGTTTTTATCTGTCTGTGTGAAAACAGAGTTTAAATGAAACTTTAACTATAATGTGTGACGTGGATCGTTGTGGTCACAGGTGGAGATGAGCTCCTGGGACAAAGAGACTCCAGGATCGTGGTACAGTCAGTTTTCCACTGGTAGTAAGGTTAGTAATTAAAAGTTTAATAGTTTAGTTCTTAGCTTGACCTGTTTAACCTTCTTTCCCTCGTTTGTTTGCATCCTTACACTCATCTTACACTTCTCCTCCTTGCTGCTTGTTGTCTTATCATTAAATCCTCTCCTTTCTCCTCCCAGTTCTCCTACGTCGACTCCAACGGTGAGCCCGTGGGCGTGGTCCAGCTGGGCTTCCTGCGCCTCTTGAGCGTCCAGGCCCGTCAGAACCTCACCTACCACTGCCACCGCTCCGTGGCCTGGGCCGACCAAAGCGCCGGGAACAACTACCAAAGGGCGCTGCACTTCCTGGGCGCCAACGACGAGGAGCTGAGCTATGAGACCAACCCGTACATCAAAGCCTTGATCGATGGCTGCTCTGTGAGTTCACACACATAAAACTACATCCTGACCTGTTAGAGGCTCCGTGTTACTGAAGGTGATGGGGAGCTGTCACATCTTTCCTCTGGACCATCGTAACCATGTATGATGGACCAGAGTTAGTCTGACCCTCATCCAGTCCTAGTGAATTAAGCTGCCTCTTTTTCTGTGATGTTGCACATTAGAAAAAACAGTGTTTTTAAATGATTGCGCTCTCGTTACCTTGGAAATGGTTGCTTTGCAGACAGAGAGCAGGTCTGCGACAACTCACAGTCAGTTGAAAACTTTTATGCAACTTTGGTGCTGCTATAGTTTGTTTAGGACTTTTTTAGCACCACTACTTTGATCTTGTCCAGTTTCCTCAGATTTTTTAAGGACACACTGCACAGCATGCTGAGATATGTTTTCAACTAGTCGCTCTTTGGGAATCACAAAATATGATTTTCTGTCTGTTAAAGTGTGTCATTTTTTAAATTTTTCATAGATTCAGCCAAAGAAATGGAACAAACTGCCTACAGTTGTCTGATTTCTGTAGACAGAACACTGATTCATGCTGAGTCAGGTGCCTTTTTTATTCTTGATTGAATGTTTAACTGGTTTAACACTGATCTATGAACTCTGACCTGTTCCCTCTGAAAATGCTCGGGTACAAGGATGAACTGAAAGTAATGAAAAAGTAAACGATGTGCAAAGAAAAACTTAAAAAATGTAAAGATAGTCTGACTCCAAGCGAGACAAACATGAAGAAATAAGAGAAACTCGAGACTTTTGCATAGTTTAAACCAGAAATGCAACCAGATAAGTCGAGTCTGCTGTTTGCAAAGAAACACGAAACAGACGAGCTGTGCTCATCGATGCAGACTGACTCAGGTTAATTGCAGCATCTGGGCAAATTGTGTTTGTAGATGAACAAAAATTCTTGACAAACCTTCACCAATCTGTCTGAGAGTGACTGCAGTCGGTCCAAGTTGGACTGTGATTGGTTGGAGACAGTTCGCCTTGAGATCAAAAACATTCAATCATAAGTTGAGAGCAGCCGCTTTTTTACTTATTGTCACAAAGAGGTTGGAGTTTTATGTCGTGTGACTGAGCTGTTGGAGAAAACACGAGAGTTTAA